ATATGCATCTGCATGTTGGACGTGTTGCCGGTCATTTGAGGAAGCTTCTTAAAACACTTACGGCCCATTGTGTGGGTCTTGTCAACTAGCCTGCACGATTTCCTCACGTTCTTCAACTAGCTCGCGTCACATGGAAGGGTAGTACTCACATGACACGTAACATGTAAAAAGACGCTTACAAGTGAACATTTTTTTAATAGTTGGTTGGGATGAGTCACTGAGTATTTAATTATAGAATATCAAATAGGTTGTGTGATTATTGTCTAAAAAAATCTCCATGTTTTCGGTGCTTGAACTGTATGTCTTTTCATGTCTTTACAGATCAATGCAGAATTCCGATAAGACACACCGGCTTTGCATTTACAAAACTAGGTAGGATGAACGCATAGTTGTCTTTTCATTATTCTTTGTATGGCTATTTTCACTGTCAAATTTCCTCTTTAGACTCTTTGATCGTGCCCTTTTCTCTCACCAGCTAGCTTAAATTTGAACATCACTCTGCACACGACGTAATAGCGTACCTCCAGCACGCAAACAATTAAAAAAAAAAGAATTCTGCCCCAGCCCTCAGTGTTTCTGTTTGTAATGCAAGTTTAGTGGGATGTTTTGTTGTTTTAACCATTACACACACACAATGTTTGTTTCTTGTGCTTTTTTCTAACTTCAAGGACTGTGACCAGGCTGAGAAGTCCAAAGAAGAGATGGTCCTGGGATCTGTGTCCTCCATCCAGAAGGTGCACAACAACCACCAAAAGTGTCGATTGTAATTGAGGGAGTAGAGGTACTCGGGGAAATTCAAACTGTTCTGTGTGCCATCACTTTGCTTATGGGCATCATTTATGCTCTTGATTTGAGGTACCCATCCAACCTACAGCACACTTTCGAGGTCTTTCAAAAACTGTTTCTTAATCTGGATGGACAAAGGCTGTCAGACAGAGTCCAAAAGCTCAAGCTGAAAATGTTTGAGTAGATCAGCTTTTTTATTTTTATTTTATTTTTTTGTCTGTATTTTCTGCATTAAAAAAATGAGCACAATTGTAAACAATTAAAAAAATTGTAAATGTGAACTAATTGATTACCTGACAGAGTAAATTGTGTGTTGACAATTGTTTTTAGCCATTTGTGCAGTTCTTAAATTCATGAAATGAATAAACAAAGTATTTTTTCAAAGTATTTTTTGGTATTTGTTTGCTTTTTTGGTGTGCTTACTGTAATTGCATATTTCTGAAGGTATGGTAATGTATAATAATAATAATGCATTAGATTGTGATTGTCTTTACACCTACTAGAAAAACACATTGGTCCGTGTACACAAGTTACATTTTACTCTGGAAAAATGACATTATTTGAATTTAATACAGTAAGTTTGACTTTCATTAATTTTTAAGAAAATGACATTAGGTCAATGTAATACAGTTAAGTTTAATTTCCTAGAAAATTATATTAGGTCAATGTAATAAAGTTCAGTTTGATTTTCAAGAAAATTACATTAGGTCAATTTTATTGTGATAATTCAGATAGAAATAGTTTGATTACATCCAACAGACATGATTACATACAGCTTTATTAATGTAATAATTTTATGTGGAAATTTGCCACATGATTAATTCACATTCAACTGATGAGGTATTTTTTTGAGTGTAACACACTTAACACATACTTAACACACTTAAAACACACTTAACACACACTTTACAGGGAAATGTAAAACCTGAACTGGATTCCATACTCAACTACACTGCAGTTTTGGAGCAGTAAGATTTTTTATGTTTTAAAAGAAGGCTCTTCTGCTCACCAAGGCTGCATTTATTTAATAAAAACAAAAACAAAATAGTAATATTGTTAAATGTTATGACAATTTAAAATAACTGTAATAATTTTATTATTTTTTAAATTTGAATAATATTTCACAATATTATTATGAATCTTTTTTGTATTTTAAATCAAATAAATGGTGAGCAGAAGAGACTTCTTTTAAAAACATTAACAATCTTACCGATCCAAAACCTTTTACTGGTAGTGTAACTGTACTTGTGCAGCTGAAATTAGCACTGGCTAACGAAAATAATAATTCAAATTAGTGTAAAAAAAATGATTATTGACAGTTATGAAAACCTCATGCAATCCCATCCTGACACCTGAAAGCTACACTGCTGCACACACACACACACAGTGTTTCAGATCTGAGCTGTTATTATGTCTGATATGTGTGTCTACTGCCACCTAGCGAGTGTAAAACATCATCATCACTCTTATCACTGGATTGAGTTGACTTAACTGAGATGTTGAGGATAGAACTGCAGTATTAAAGAGAAGAACCTTTTAATACATTTGATGAGTGTTTCATAATATTTCATATTATTACGTCTGAATAAAATACACTTTTATTACAATGATAATCTGCCAAAATAACTAAACAGTTTACTAATGTAAATGTTTAATCTTCTAATTTTGTGTATGTTTTGAGGGAATTGGTGTATATTGTGTTTCTTGTTTATAATGTATTAAACTATTTTCTGAATGTAAAGCTGTCTGGTTCTCACACACCCAGCCAACAATGTTGATTCCCAACATTCCCATAAATAACCGAATGAGAACCATATGCGGATAATGTTCAGTGTTTAAGTTCTCTTAACAAGTATTGCTCCTACTGTAAAACCGCAATAAAATACTCTATTTATTATACAGTCAAACCAAAATTTATTCAGACACCTTCAACATTTCTCACATTATCACAGTTTATTGGCTATAGTTAAAATGGTAATAAAATATGAGCAGAACTCAGAGTTCTCAGATCAGTGGATATTTGACTGGTTTTGTCCGTCCTTCTGTTAGACTCTCACACATGAATTATGTTGAATATCTGTCAGCTATTAAATTTAACTACACAATTAGAGAATACCAGTTTAGCTCAACCAGTGACCAAGCAATGCTTGTTCAGTCTGTGTGTAAAAAGAGCATTACAGAAAACACACTTCAGCAAAAACATGGTCAGGTCAAGTGTCTGAATAATTTTGGGTCCCAAATGTTTATACATTTTACTGATAGTCACTGGGTGATTCTCTGAATTGGGTGCCCTTCAAGTCCCCCAAACTTGCTTCAAAGATTTTCAATTGAAGGAAATCACAAAATGCATTTTAATGCTGTCAATTAATAGAACCAGGTGCCTTTGCATTATAATGCAACACAATTTCTTAAAAAATTTTTTTTAATTTAAAGATAAGGTTGCCTAAGTAGTAGACAACAAGCAAGTTTGCATGTCCTCACTAACCATCATTACATTTTCATTGCATATTAAACAAATAAAAAGTACAATTAATACCAAAATGTTGCTGCTAATATAATCATATGTTGGTCTACTTTAACTAAAATATACATATATATAAAAAAAATAATTAATTATATATGAAATTACAATATTTATACACGTCCTCCAGTTTGTTTTCAACCCCGTCACGCCATACTATTTACCCCCCTATAAAAATAATGGATCAATCCCTGTGGCATCTCATCCAGGAAGTGACATCACACAAGTCTCTTAAAGAACATGCTGCAAAGAAAGGCAAGTGTCAGTATCTTTTCTTACCTATATTTCATGTTTTTCGCTGTCAGATTAAGATTGTCAGGCTCAACATTTCAACTCTGTTGTATGACTAAATGATAGTAAACAACGGTTTGAGAAGAATTAAATAATAGTTTTGCAAAACATTACAATTTTATGATGTCCTAAATGCCATGTGGTGCTACTGTCTTTGCTAAGTAAGGAGTTATGGCTACTATTAGCCAAAAAATTCAACCCCGTTACATTCAACCCCGTCACATTTTTAGTAAAACAGGGTTGAATCGTTGTGACAGGGTTGAAGGTTTGACACTTCTTAGTAGATTACTCAATTGTAGACTTGTTGTATTGTGATGTGAACTGTCAGAAATAATCGATTATGCCATTTTATTTTCAGACATCGCAATGGCAAAAACAGCAGCAGAGAAGCAAAGACAGTACAGAGCAAGAAGGGATGCAGACGCAGAGAGAAGGGAAAAATATCTCAGGAGTGAGCGTGAAAGGTGGAAAAGGGACACAGAGGCAGGGAAAAAGAAAGAATAAGTCGTAATATATAATAAATAAATCCATTCTATATTGAAATAATGATGATCACTTCAACCCTGTTATCATTTTCAACCCCGTTATGCTGAGTTCAACCCTGTTATTTGATAGTTTTTATTAATATTTTCGTGATAAGAAGACAAATTAGGTCAATGTTTGTTTTGCTGTGTGTAGAATTTACCGGACAGTCGGAAAAAATACGAAAGCCTGATTAAATCCTAATGTTAATGCATATTTTGTGATAAGATATGAAGACCAATGTTAGATACAGTTTTCATGAGCTGATTTGGTATTCAAATGGTGAGTATTTAAAAATAAAATTCTACATGCAATAAATGATATCAAACAAGGGACATCTCATTGAAAAGCTTCTACAAGAATTTACTTGAAAATCTTTTAAAACCATATTTTAAACAGGGTCCAAGTGGTCTGTGACGGGGTTGAACTTCAAAACAACTTTCAGTAAGAAAAAACACTCAATATCGATTAGAATTTCATGCCTGAGGTGGGAAAATGCATTTTCTTAAAGGTTTGACTAATCCACTATCACATGAAATGATCAGAAATACAACTATTTGAGGTATATAAAAAAAAAAAGGTATGACCCAAAAGGCACCCATCTCAGAGAATCACCCCACTGTATGAAGAATTTTTGGGTAAAATATGTCACAGTTTACTTTATTCTGCTCTCCTCACTTACATAAATGAACTATGGTGTCCTGCACACACTAGTGAAAAATATCAAAAATTACATCTGTGGTCTGAATCATTTTTGGTTTGACTGTAAATCAGAGTATAAAATATTTTTCATGTTTTTATATTTGCGTTGGCTGCCTCAGTCCTGCAGGTTGCGCTGTGAACCGTGTTAAACTGAATGTACATCCGCGTCAACATCAAAATGGTGGCGGCCACCGGACTGATTCTGCCCGGTGACGGGATCATAATCGCGGGAAAACTCTACTCGGGTGTCGCGCTCACGCTGGAGAACTGCCTGTTGCCCCCCGAGCGCGTGCACTACAGCCCCTCGCGCGCTCACGGGCTGTCCGCGCGCACGGAGGAGCAGCTACGGAACCGCATGTGTGAGATGATCCAGAACGCGGGAATTCTGCTCCGTTTGCCTCAGGTTCGCGCGGTTTCGTGTTGCCTAGCAACTACCTGTCAACAACACGATTCCCTTCTGTAAAAAAAAAAAAGCTTTTAAACCGGATTAAACTGGTCAGCTGGCTCTCAGATTCGCCAAACCGGTCTACTTCGGGTTTAGAGGGGTTCTAGATTCTTGTTAGCTGGTCTAAACCCCACCCTGGCCTGACTAAGACCAGATGTGGTTCTTTCATTAGGGAACATCTCAGTAGCTGGTTGATGAAACGGGAAACGGCTTATGGTTTACAACTTAGTCTTTGGTTTGAATATGAAAAGTAACTTATCTGGGGCCGGTTGCATAAACATATCTAACATAATGGCTATGTCCGAAACCGCTCCCTATACACTATTAGTGCACTCAAATGTCATACACTCTATAGGGTACTCATGAGTGAACGAGTGAGCGGTTTCGGACTTCTAGTATGACCCACTAGCAGTTAGTCAGGGGCAGTCTTAGTTTTCGGTATTAAATTAGACTAATCTACGTTTTTATGTAACTGATTTTAAAAAGCTATGGACAGTCTTAAAGAAAGACATGTGATGTCACTTCTATGAGTAGTCTTAGAGGTTTATGCAACCGGCCTGTATGAGTTCTAAATAAACCTGGCTAATATATCAGCCTGTCGCTGATTTCAATGCTAGTTTAATATTATACATCCCTCATTAGCATGAAAACACAGTTGTTTGGATGTTTTACGATGTTTTGTCAGGTCGCCATGGCAACGGCCCAGATCCTGTTCCATCGGTTCTTCTACAGTAAATCATTCGTGAGACACTGCGCGGAGGTGAGCCATCTCTAAACTAGCCGTCCGCCTCTCTCACACATGACCTTTAACCTTTAACCCTCTCGTGATGATGACGCAGACGGTCGCCGTGGCGTGTCTTCAGCTCGCGTCTAAGATCGAGGAGGAGCCGCGGCGCGCGAGGGACGTCCTGAACGTCTTCCACCGCCTCAAGCACGCCGCGGGAAACAGGTAACGAGCGTTACAGCGTTACAGCGTGAGTCTGGAGTGTGTTCTGACGCTTCGCTGTCTCCGTCAGGCCTTTCTGCCCCCTGCTGTTGGACGATGGCTACGTCAGCCGCAAGAGTTACGTGATCAAAGCGGAGCGGCGCGTGCTGAAGGAGCTCGGCTTCTGCGTACACGTCAAACACCCACACAAGGTCTTTACACGCTCATTTGCCGCATTTCAGCCCGGAAACACACTTTTCACGCAAGTTCAGCCCGAAGCATCCCGCTCCATCTCACGGACAGTGCATGTGATGTAATTTTCGTAATGTCCGCGCAAATCTGTATGCAGCCAGGAGAGTAGCACTGTGTGCACGCACTACGCACACCTGGGCCTTTAATGTTGTTACTCATCTGTGTAGTCATTGGACGACATTTTGTAAGGTTTACGAGAACATGCTACATTAATGCAATAATGAACGTTAAATGTTGGGCTTTACAATTTTTTCCACGCATTGCTCAAATGTGCGAAAGACGCAAAACACGAAGTATACCTGGGGCTTTAATGTCCATTATTCCGTTACTCATCTGTGTAGTCATTGGACGACACTTTGTAAGGTTTACGAGACTATGCTACATTAACGCAATAATGAACAGTTAATGTTGGGCTATACAATTTTTTTTCCGCTTATTGCTCAACTGTGTGAAAGATGGAGTGGAACGTAAGACACAAAATATACCTGGGGGTTTAACATTCATTATTGCGTTACTCGTAAACCTTTCAAAGTGTCGTTGATTGACTACGCAGATGAGTAACACAATAACGCCCGTTAAAGACAAAGTTATACTTTGTGTCTTACGTTCAGCTCCATCTTTCGCACAGTACAGATATTAAAGGCCCAGGTATACGTCGTGTTTTGCGTCTTTCGCAAAGTTGAGCAATACGCGGAAAAAATTGTATAGCCCAACATTTAACGTTCATTATTGCGTTACTGTAGCATGTTCTCGTAAACCTTTCAAAGGTTCATTGATTGACTATGCAGATGAGTAACGAAATAACGGACATTAAAGACAAAGTTATACTTTGTGTCATACGTTCAACTCCATCTTTCGCACAGTTGAGCAATAAGCGGAAAAAATAGTATAGCCCAACATTTAACGTTCATTATTGCATTAATGTAGCATGTTCTTGTAAACCTTACAAAATGTCGTCCAATGACTACACAGATGAGTAACGAAATAACGAACATTGAAGGCCCAGGTATACTTCGTGTATTGCGTCTTTCGCACAGTGGAGCAATACACGAAAGAAATGGTATAGCCCAACCTTTAACGTTCATTATTGCGTTACTGTAGCATGTTCTTGTAAACCTTTCAAAGTGATGTTCATGATGAGTAACGAAAAAACAGACATTAAATGCCCAGGTGTACTTCGTGTTTTGCGTTCCACTCCGTCTCGCAATACGTGAGAAACATAGCATAGCATTTAACGTCCATTATTGCGTTACTGCGCTTGTGACAAAACTAGGGACTCAACGGGCTGATAGTTTCGTTCAAATGTGTGTATTGTTAAACCAGATTTTGTTCAGTTAGATAGATATGAACATGTAAAAGTTTCGTTAACTCCATTACAATAGTTATGTTAATATTCACTGTAACGCTTCGCTCGCTGCAACACTGAGAATACAACACGTTCTTGTGTTTTCTTGTTTACAGTTTTCTAGTGCACATAATACATATTGTTTTAAAGTAGTTTCACAGAAAATGCTTGTTTCAGTGTTACAATTTAGGATGTACATGATGTAAATTGTGTAATTTCTACAATTGTGACACATTTCACAGCGTTTGCGTTCCGGCCTCATCGTGTGTTTACCTGTGCAGGTGATCATGATGTATCTCCAGGTTCTGGAGTGTGAGAAGAACACCAGACTGCTTCAGATAGCCTGGTGAGGTCCTGAACTAAACTCTGTGATGAAAACACTCACTTTTGTTATAACGGTCCCTCTGTGTTTCTCCAGGAACTACATGAACGACAGCTTGAGGACTGATGTGTTTTTGAGATATAGGGCTGAAACAGTTGCATGTGCGTGTATCTTTCTTTCTGCAAGAGTATTACAGGTGAATCGCATGTTTCTGCTGACGTTGTATTATTTAGATAATTTTATGTTTTTTAACTCCTCCATTAAACCTGACCTTCACACACATAGCATGTAACACAAATAAGTTCTAAGAACATTTTGCTAACGTTCCCATTAAAGGAGGAGTTCACTTCAGAACTAAAATTTCCTGATAATTTACTCTCCCTCACGTCATCCAAGATGTTCATGTCTTTCTTTCTTCAGTGGAAAAGAAATGAAGGTTTTTGAGGAACACACTCCAGGATATAGTGTCTTCAATGGGGTCCAACGGGTCGAAGGTCCAGATGTGAGTTTCAGTGCAGCTTCAAAGTCTCGACACGATCCAGCCGAGGAATAAGAGTCTGATCTAGACAAACCAGCCGACATTTATAACAAAATACACATTTATATACTTTTAACCACTAATGCTGGTCTTGCACGAGCTGTGATGCGACACACATTACGTCATCAGGTTGAAAGGTCAAGCGGGACGTAGGAGGAAGAACCGACCCAGTGTTTACAAAGCCAACGTGCAAAGACTAAGTCAAACACCATTTAAAAAAAATAAAATAAAAAGGTAAAACTATGATGTCAGACGATTCTCAAGTTGGAGGAGAAAATGAGATGATTTGATGAGTTTTAATGAGATTTAATGAGTTTTTTGCCCTACCCTACATTTCTGAACCGGAACACGCTTGACCTTTCACCCTGATGACGCAATGTGTGTCGCATCACAGCTCGTGCAAGACCAGCATTAGTGGTTAAAAGTATATAAATGTGTATTTTGTTATAAATGTCGGCTGGTTTGTCTAGATCAGACTCTTATTCCTCGGCTGGATCGTGTCGAGACTTTGAAGCTGCACTGAAACTCACATCTGGACCTTCGACCCGTTGGACCCCATTGAAGACACTATATGGAGAAACCCTGGAGTGTGTTCCTCAAAAACCTTAATTTCTTTCCGACTGAAGAAAGAAAGACATGAACATCTTGGATGACGTGGAGGAGAGTAAATTATCAGGAAATATGGATTCTGAAGTGAACTCCTCTTTTTTATACATTGTCAGATCCCTCTGCCTGAGCAGCCGCCCTGGTTCTTGTTGTTCGGGGTGTCAGAAGAGGACCTGATTGAGATCAGCTGTTGTATTCTGCGGCTGTACACACTGCAGTGTGATTCGCTGCCGGCTCTTCAGCATCAGGTGGAGGAAACGCGTTTATCTCTGGCGAGCAAACCCGGAGGAAAAGCGTTGGCGACACACACCCCGACACACGAGCCGGCGGCCAGTTTCTCTCCCGCGTCCAAACCTGGTGCGCTCGTATACACACAGTCAAACCAGTTTATACAGACTCCTTCAACACTTCTCACATTATCAGTTTATTCGCTAAAGTTTAGAAAATGGTGATAAATATGAGCAGAACTCAAGAGTTCTCAGATCAGTGGATATTTGACTGGTTTTGTCCGTCCTTCTGTTCGACTCTCACACATGAATTATGTTGAATATCTGTCAGCTGTTAAATTTAACTACACAATTAGATAATACCAGTTTAGCTCAACCAGTGACCAAGCAATGCTTCATGTTGTTCAGTCTGTGTGTAAAAAGAGCATTAGCAGTTACAGAAAACACACTTCAGCAAAACATGATCAGTACAAAGTGGAGGAATCATTTCTGGTCCCGAATTTGTATAAATGTCACTGGTAGTCACTGTGTGAAGAATATTTGTGTATAATATGTCAGTTTACTTTATGTTGCTCTCCTCACTTACATAAATGAACTATAGTGTCCTGCACACACTAGTGGAAAAATATCCAAAATTATATCTGGTGTCTGAATAATTTTTGGTTTGACTGTATATATATATATGTAAGTATGTTTCTGCTGTACATTCATTCTCTCGTTCTCTCAGCGACTCCTGCAGAAAACCAGAAGAACCACGAATCTCCTCTGTCGCATCTCGCCCTCGAAAACGCCCGTCGAAAGATCACGTGCCGAGAGCGGTGAGCTAGACGACTCTACCAGAGTGAAATCAGTGACATTAGATCGTGTTTCACGTTTCTCTCTCAGTAGGAAGCGTCTGAGTCGCAGCGATGAGCGGCGAAACACTCGCTGGATCCCGTCTCCCCCCAGACGCAGGTACCCGCATCTACAGCATTCATATATATCACCTGGCGGAATAGACAAGTCAGCTTTATTTATACAGCGCTTTTCCAGCACAGAGTGTGTCAGAGCAGCTTTACAGAGATAACAGGACAAGAATGACACAAGGTGTGTTTCCAGAAGAGAATAGCGTCACAGTCCAGCTTAAGCCAGTTCAGTGATGCTTTATTTCTGCTGTAAAAAAGTTATTAATTTAGTTCATTTTTATATATATATATATATATATATATATGTATATATCCACTCTGGAGAAACCGTGATGTCATCATCCAGCTCAGTTCAGTTCTCATATAATGCAGGAGATCAATAATATTGTTGAATATTAAATTAAATAGAAGATTAAATGAAACGGAATAGTTTCACCTGTCTGTCTTTCAGGCGCAGTCGTAGCGAGTCCTCTCCATCGCTGTCCGTTTCTCCCGAACACACACACTCCTACACACACCGACAGAGGGAACGCCAACGACAGCGGGCCAATCGTTCGTCTCGCAGGAGATGATGTCATCAGGTGTGGGGGGAGTGGCCTAAAACTGAACCGTCGCCTGAAGCCGCTTGTATGGATGTAAACTGCCTTGAAAACAGTCTCTGAGAGAGAAATCGAGTCACGGTCTGCATGAGAGTTGAAATAAAATGGGAGAATTTTAATAACTGTGTGACTGCGTGTGTTTAAAATTGTTTTGTTTTTGTTGCAGGAATACACACAGAAATTTTACAAAATACACATCGACAAATAAAAATGAAACAAAGACAAACAATAATATAAGGATAGACGAAAGAAAGAAAAAAGGTAGAGAAAAGAAAGACCTTAAAATTTGAAATGTGTCCTTTGGGGTGTCGAGTGTTTCAGGGTATCCAGTAATTTAACATCTTTTACCGGTAATACTCTACAATAAGGTTCATTAGTTAACATGAACTAATAATGAACTGCACGTATACAGCATTTATTAATCTTTGTTCATGTTAATTTCAACATTTACTAATACATTAGTAACATTAGTTAATGCACTGTAAACTAACATGAACAAACAATGAACAGCTGGATTATTATTAACTAACATTAACAAAGATTAATAAATACAGTAACAAATGTATTGCTCATAGTTAGTTCATGTTAGTTAATACATTAACTAATGAACCTTATTGTAAAGTGTGACCCTTTCTCTCCTCCCAATCCCCCAAACAATAACCATAATGATAAAGATAGTAATATGATTTTCTGTAAAAAACAAATATATAATTTTTTTAAAATAAAAAGCTTGTTGACGTATCATCAGCTCTTCATTGCTCAACAGTAGAGTGTGTTTGGACCGCTGATGTGAAGCCCTGTGGGATCGCGGTGGTCTTGCTAATGAATGACTGCTAACTCGTGCGAGTTAATGAGCCTGATGGGAACGGTTAACCCCTCGAGCATATCATCTCTGGTGGAATCTCATGGTGTCCTCTCCTCCGCCGGCAGGACCAGGACTGGGTTGGGCTGGGCTGGGCTGGGTTATATGTGGTGATGAGGTCACCGAGACGTCACCGAGAGAATCTTCATAAATACTGAAAATATCTCGAGCACTTTGATCTCCACTGGATTGTCCAGTTTTCAGGTGAAACATGGCGGCTCAAGGAAAAGCCTCTCAGCGCACGCCGTCTTCTGTGCTCTACGTCGCCATATACGTCATTCTGGTGATGCTGGGGAACGCCGGAAACACCACGGTCATCGGAGTGGTCGGAGAAAGCCTTCTCCGGGATACGGGACCCATCCGAAGCTCAGATGTGATCCTGGTCAACATGGCTTTCTCCAACCTGATGGTGTCGTTGGCCAGAAACACTCTCCTGGTGATCTCCGACATGGGAGTGGAGGTACGGGATTGTTGGAAATGTGTGATATAATGTCAGTTGCTGGTCAAGTCTCCTTCATCTATACAGCGCTTCAACAATACAGAGTTTCACAGCAGCTTTACAGTGATAACAGGAGATTACAGTAACAGAGAGTGTTTAGGCTTTACAGCAAATCTAGAATAAAGTTATTGTCCAGATAAAGTTGTTGGTTCTGGGTTGAAAAAACGCTAGCTTTAAAGCTAAATGGTTGTAAAAGGGTGTATGTCCAAATCAATGTTTAAATTGAATTCTCGTATGTTGTCGTCAAGGGGACGGAAAGGCGTAGCGCTGAAACAATAGTCCCAAACAGAGGAATGTAATAACTTCTTGAGGTGCGTAGATCCAAAAGATCCGCACACGAAAATAGGCCAAAAAGCGCACAGGATTTTATTGTCCAGAAGACACAAATAAAGTGCTAAAAAGAGCAAGGTGTGCAGAACGTTTTCGGGTTCAACCCTTAATTCATAAGTTCATGTGAAACAAACTTCCACCTTGATCCATGGTGTTGAGGTGCTGGTCTGGGGTGCGTTTCCCCAAAGCATCGTTATCCAACTATGATCGCAATTCCCATTGAACTCTATTGGTAACGACGGAACTTGCGACCATAGTTGGCTTCGGGAAACGCACCCCTGACCGGGATAGAGGGAGATTATCCAGCGCTTGGGAGCGGACAGGTGTAAGGACTCGCTTCGTTATTCAGCCAGAAATGAGGGCTAGTTTTCAGTCGCCTATGCTTGTAGTCTTAACTGGGTGAAGGAGAGCATTGTCTGCTGCTAGGTTGATATTGTTGTGCGTTTGATTTATTTTAAAGGGGACATATCATGAACATCAGACTCTCTCCGTGTGTCAGTGCTGTAATCCGGCGCTTCTACCCAGAAAACGTGAACAGTGAAACCCAGTAACTGTGTTCTGGTGAGTCTTTCTCTGAGAGCATGTCTAAGAATAAGCCAATCAGATTTCGCTCCTTCTGACGTATGAAGAGGATCTTATTATAATATTCCCGGCCCTTAAGCTGCACGGTTACACACACCAGCGACATTGGGTTCGGCGAGCGCCAACAGAGACCAGTTCTAACGCACTGGAGAAGATCCAGCAAAGCCTGAAACTGTTCTGTGGTCGAGCACAGACGACACTGAACACTATTGACCAGAACATGTCAGCGCTGTCTTATAAACACCTCAGGAACTGTGGACACTTGTGGAAGAGTTCAACATGATGAGGAGATGATCAGTGTAACTCCACAACAACTACAGAAATGTCTCCGCTAACATTCAGAAACGTGTAAAAGTGAAGCTCTCCCTGAGTCTCTCCGTAAGGCTGCACTCGCTGCTGGTTACTCCTGACTCTGGATCAGTGAGATCGGCCTGTGTTGTTATTGCCAGAGTCTCTGAAGCTTGTGTGAAGGCTCCGCCCTCTTCTGAACGGAGGCGGAGCTAAAGCTCATTTGCATTTAAAGGGACACACACAAAAAAGGCACATTTTTGCCCACACCCAAAAAGGGGCAAATTTGACAAGTTATAATAAATGATCTGGGGGGAATTGAGCTGAAATTTCACAGACACATTCTGGGGACACCATAGATTTATATTACATCTTGTGAAAAGGGGCGTAATATGTCATCTTTAATTGCCATCAGCAATTGGAATCATCAGCCTTGTTCTTTTCTCACAGGTTTTCCTCAATAAAAACTGGTGTCGCTTCATGATGGGCATCTGGGTTTGGCTCCGCTCTGCAAATGTTTGGTCGACGTTCTTTCTGAGCGCGTTCCACTTCCAGACGCTGCGTCGACTCGCCCCGGCCGCCACGAACGTGCACGGTCACCCCGGACCCCCCAAATCCCTCATATTCGGCTTGTGCCTCATCTGGAGCCTCAATCTGATCTACTCCATCCCAGCATTCATCTTCTCCAAGAACGGAGACGAGAACTCCACCGAGGTCAGTCTGTCGTTTTATTGGTCAAAGGGCTTAATTTAACTTGTGTGTTTCCTTTCGGTTAAAGGGATAGTTCACCCAAAAATGAAAATTAGCCCATGATTTACTCTGCCTCAAGCCATCCTAGGTGTATATGACACTCTTCTTTCAGACGAACACAATCAGAGTTATATTAAAAAAATGTCCTGGCTCTTCCAAGCTTTATAATGGCAGTGAATGGTTTTGAAGTCCATAAAAGTCTATCTATACATGATAAAAGTGCATCTGTCCATCATAAAAGTGCATCTGTCCATCATAAAAGTGCATCTGTCCATCATAAAAGCGCATCTGTCCATCATAAACGTGCATCTATCCATCATAAAAGTGCATCTGTCCATCATAAAAGTGCATCTATCCATGATAAAAGTGTATCTATCCATCATAAAAGTGCATCTATCCATCATAAAAGTGCATCTGTCCATCATAAAAGTGCATCTGTCCATCATAAAAGTGCATCTATCCATCATAAAAGTGCATCTGTCCATCATAAAAGTGCATCTGTCCATCATAAAAGCGCATCTGTCCATCATAAACGTGCATCTATCCATCATAAAAGTGCATCTGTCCATCATAAAAGTGCATCTATCCATGATAAAAGTGTATCTATCCATCATAAAAGTGCATCTATCCATCATAAAAGTGCATCTGTCCATCATAAAAGTGCATCTGTCCATCATAAAAGTGCATCTGTCCATCATAAAAGTGCATCTGTCCATCATAAAAGTGCATCTGTCCATCATAAAAGTGCATCTGTCCATCATAAAAGTCCATCTGTGCATCATAAAAGTGCATCTGTCCATCATAAAAGTGCATCTGTCCATCATAAAAGTGCATCTGTCCATCATAAAAGTGCATTTATCCATCATAAAAGTGCATCTATCCATCATAAAAGTGCATCTATCCATGATAAAAGTGCATCTATCCATCATAAAAGTGCATCTGTCCATCATAAATGTGCATCTGTCCATCATAAAAGTGCATCTATCCATCATAAAAGTGCATCTATCCATGATAAAAGTGCATCTGTCCATCATAAAAGTGCATCTGTCCATCATAAAAGTGCATCTATCCATCATAAAAGTGCATCTGTCCATCATAAAAGTGCATCTATCCATGATAAAAGTGCATCTATCCATCATAAAAGTGCATTTGTCCATCATAAAAGTGCATCTATCCATCATAAAAGTGCATCTATCCATGATAAAAGTGCATCTATCCATGATAAAAGTGCATCTGTCCATCATAAAAGTGCATCTGTCCATCATAAAAGTGCATCTGTCCATCATAAAAGTGCATCTATCCATCATAAAAGTGCATCTGTCCATCATAAAAGTGCATCTATCCATGATAAAAGTGCATCTATCCATCATAAAAGTGCATCTGTCCATCATAAAAGTGCATCTGTCCATCATAAAAGTGCATCTATCCATCATAAAAGTGCATCTGTCCACCATAAAAGTGCATCTGTCCATCATAAAAGTGCATCTGTCCATCATAAAAGTGCATCTGTCCATCATAAAAGTGCATCTGTCCATCATAAAAGTGCATCTATCCATCATAAAAGTGCATCTATCCATGATAAAAGTGCATCTATCCATCATAAAAGTGCATCTGTCCATCATAAAAGTGCATTTATCCATGATAAAAGTGCATCTATCCATC